TGTAGACTGCAGTCTTCAATATTTGTTTTGATTGCACACTTTTTCATAGATTTTTTATTTTGATTCTTAAAAATCATTTGCCTGCGGGTGGCCATGATCCCCTTCCCATTTTAATTTTCAAATTTAAAATTTTATAAATTTTTTTATAATTATTTTTATTTGATTGCTTAAACTCATTTGCCTGCTGGCGCACATACCTCCCTTCACATTTTTTTTTCCATAATTTAACTCGAGTTCAATTATTTCCAAACCATTTTTTAATTTTTGATGGTCAGTTAGTTCCTCATAAATATTCATTATTTCATAATTTTATTATTGTAAATAAAACTATGAGTTTAGGAAAAGTGATATTGTTGACTGCAGTCTTTAATATTTATTTTCAATACACATTTTTTGATATTTTTTTTTGTTTTGATTCTTAAAATTCATTTTTCTGCGGGCGCCCATGCCCCCCTTCCCATTTTTATTTTTAAATTTAAATTCTATTAAATTTTTTATAATTTTTTTTATTTTGATTCTAACAATTAATTTGCCTGCGGGCGCCCATGATCCCCTTCCCATTTTTTTTCTATAATTTAACTCTAGTTCACTTTTTTAAAAACATTTTTTAAATTTTGATTGCAAGTTAGTACTTTATAAAAATTCATTGCTTCATTATATAATTATTTAAAATAAAGCTATGAGTTTAAAGAACACTGATATTGTAGACTGCAGTCTCTAATATTTGTTTTAAAAGTACATTTTTTCATACATTTTTTGTATTCATTTTTTTAATTTGATTCTTAAAATTAATTTGCCCGCGGGCGCCCATGCTCCCCTTCCCATTTTTATTTTTAAATTTCAATGCTATGAAATTTTTTAATATTTTTTTTTTATTTTGATCCTTACAATTCATTTGCCTGTGCGCGCCCATAATCCCCTTCAATTTTTTTTCAAATATTTAACTCTACTTCAATTTTTTAAAAATATTTTTTTAAATTTTGATAACAAGTTAGGCCCTTATAATAATTCTATGTTTCAATATCTAATTATTGAAAATAAAGCTATGAGTTTAAGAACACTGATATTGTAAAATGCAGTCTTTAATATTTGTTTTAAAAGTACATTTTTTCATACAAATTTTATATTCATTTTTTTAATTTGATTCTTAAAATTCATTTGCCCGCGGGCGCCCAAGCACCCATTCCCATTTTTATTTTTAAATTTAAATTCCATCATATTTATATAAAATTTTTTTATTTTGATTCTTACAAATCATTTGCCTGCGGGCGCCCATAATCCCCTTCAAAATTTTTTTCAAATATTTAACTCTACTTCAATTTTTTAAAACCATTTTTTAAATTTTGATAACAAGTTAGGTCCTTATAAAAATTCAATGTTTCATTATATAATGATTGAAATAAAGCTATGAGTTTAGGAATACTGATATTATAGACTGCTGTCTTTAATATTTGTTTTTAATGTAAATTTTTTCATAAATTTTTTAATTTGATTCTATAAATTCATTTGCCCGCGGGCGCCCAAGCACCCATTCCCATTTTTATTTTTAAATTTATATTCTATCATATATTTTTATAATTTTTTTTTTTTTGATTCTTACAATTCATTTGCCCGCGGGCGCCCATGCACCCCTTCAAATTTTTATTTTTAAATTTATATTCCATCATATTTGTATAATTTTTTTTTATTTTTTAAAGAATTCTGCAGTTCGATGTGATAATTATCATCTTTTGAATTTCCACTGCTCGAAAAACTTTATGTGGAAATCCTAGTTTAAAGTAAGTAAAATAGTGCTTTAAATAAGTTTTTTAAGTTGCTTAAACATAATATATTGAACTAATATATTATAGTTAAAATATTTAGTTTGTACTGATGTTATAGACATTTATATTTTTGTCACAAATTATTACTTAAAAATAAAAACAATGAATAAAATAAATGTTTTCAATGCAAAATTACGTATTTCAGTATACTTGTAGATATAGTGTAGGTATAATATATAATGTTTAATTACCTTTATATTGTAGACAATTTAGCATAAATTGATAATATTTGGCATAATTTTGATATAATTATCCAGTGACTGCTTTACAATGACTAATGAAAATAGCGCACGTTCTATTTCAGTAAAACAATATTAGTCATGACTGAAGACAAAAATGTTTTTTTTTTACTACGCTTTATCAGTGTGCGTGTTTACCATAAAATATAAAGGTTTTAGTTTTGATTAGTCATAATAAAGCGACTTTAGTCGCTTTGAAGCAGTTTTGCTTTACCAGTGTGCGGTCACCCTAAGTAAAAACTAAAAATCTTTTTTACACCAATTTCATGAACTACACACACATAACGTGCCAATAATAAAAATACACAAAAAGTATTGATAAAATATAAAATTAGATCAAAATTAGTTTGAATAATTTTTTTTTTTTTTAACGATAGAATACTTATCTAGACGCCATTATAGTGAATTATGCCAATCTACATAGTATGAAAAGTACACTACTCGTGGTTATTTATTTTCATACGTTTTAATTACAACTTCTATAGTTCTTTACTGCATTTTCTTTACCATGGCCATGCTTGAAAAATTATTTGACTTATAAGTAAGTTATCGGTTATGATGACCGGTTAGTTAAGGGGGGTTTAACCACGGGGGTGTGTTGAATTTGAATATAATAAAATATTGTATACAAGGCAACACCATATTATGTAATAATAACAACATCGCTGTTTTCTAAAGATTGTAAAATTATTCCACACATATGTCATATAATAACAGCGTCAACAGTTCATGTCTTGTATGAGACCAACTTGTAGCGTACTGTAAGCATTACATTATAATATTACTTATGTTTTCGTCATGTGTTAGTAAAATAGGTATAACTTATTAGTCATTACTAAAAGCAGTGAAGTCATTTTTGTCTAGATCAATCTACAAACATAATCCTAAGCTCAACAACATTAAAATACAGTACGATCAAAAGTAGCTAAATTGCCTACCTTGGACGCCGTGTTACCATTCTTGCTTTTAAGCATTGGAATCTTCATGATTTTATAGGCTCAAGTTCAGTTAAGACTACTTTAAACAATTATAAAAGTATTTTTATAAATTTTTTTAGAAACCAAGTACTTACAATATACAAATGTACACAATATTATGGTCACACTGAAAATTGAATCTACATCAATAATTGCTATAGTTCAGAAATCTTTCAGAACTTTAGTAACCTTACTATACAATATTTCATACTACCCCTAGCCACTGGCTATTGACATATTACATAACGGTTGGATAAAAACTCTGAAACTATTTATAAACGCACGAATTGTTATTATATTTGGAAATAATAAAATTGTATTACCAACCCCAATACAGTATATGCAATCGAAAACTATTTTGGTTCAATAATACCTTGTATATATTATCAATATATTAGAATTGATTGTTTGAAGACAAGTCTGTATAAAACACAACAATATAATATTATGATATAGTAATATTTTAATTATTGACGAATATGTTCAGTGGGGACCATTATCTTCTTGAAGAATGAATAAAAATAAAAAAATAAAAATATATTTACAGAATAATCTGATGTACTATTTATGTTTATTAGTTATTCGATTCTGGTGCAACTTAGTATGATTAAACCTCTTTTCGATGGTCGAACCCTTAGTTACAAATTACGATTATTCTTAGGTACCAAGTTAAATATTTTTAGTTGATCGTATTTTTAGAAGAAAGTCAATTTTGTAATGTTGATAACAATGGTTATATCAACCAGAGCGCCATATCTAGTTTATTTTACAATTTAGAAAAGTTGTAAAAATTGATTGTTAGTATCTAATAATCAGTTTTCGCCAAGGTGGAAGAAATTGGATTTGGCTAGGAAAGCCGTCAACAGTCGATATGATTCAATGACTGGTGTATTTTGGTTTAAATGTATCTTAGCTTGAGTACAATTAGGTTCGAGATTAATTATTTTAAGCACTTATTGTAAATCATAATAAGGGTTCTTGAGCATTAAGTTGTTGACCTAACTTATAAATTATTTGTTTTTTCTTGTTGGGCTATTTCGATACATATCCATACATCGCTGCTCCAAATATTAAAAATGATAGTTCATAAATATATGATATAAACTAACAGCCAACTCAATGTGTTGTAGTATGAATGAGATAAGCGACAACATTCTTGCATATTTCATTGAATAGAGAATAAATCATAGACAAAATAATAAATACGCATAAAAATCATTTTCACATATATAGGTTGTATGTATAGTCATACAGTGTATAATATAAATTATGATAACCGCTTAAGAATATAACCACATTCAATCTGCAGTCATTACCTTAAGAATAATATCTACAATATATATTTTTACATGACGTATAATTCTTCTGTGCATATTATGTATGTCACTGAAATCCTCTTAAGCGATTTGACAGAATTTTATGAAATTATTTGTGTGTGTTTGAGACGTTTGAGTGCGTTCCTGAATGGGTTGGATTTACAGCTGTGCCCGATTGTTCCAACCCGGAGAGGTGCTCATACAAGGATTTTGAGATTTACGATGGAAATCGAACATTTTTTGTTTATAAATGGTTTTTATTGGTTACACTCGTTACATTTTTACAGCTTACAGATTATAATAGCATGTAATATAAGAAAATATTAGTACACATTAGTATTTTTTTGTAGATAAATGGTTGCCATTGGTCACTCGGACAGATGAGATAAAAGCATGCATCAAATCGTTCCGTTTATGGGGTTACTCGCTTTTACCAGTTTCTATTATTCAAAAACTACTACTTAACCGATTTTGTGAAAATTTCAAATTTTTTTATAGGCAAGAAATTATGGAAATATGCAGGGAATAGTTTGAACCACGATCAATTTAAATCAAGTGCTATATCCAACCCACCACAGTCAAATAGTCCATATCGGTTAAATTAGTTCACAAAGCGAGCCACAAGGTACATCGATTACACAGGAATATAGATTATATTTATTTTTGTTTATTCATATGAATAACATACATTATATTTTCTGAACATTATTTTTATTTTGAATTATCCATCCAAACGATGTTTATCAACCAACTTGACAGTGAAATCTTCAGAAGCTCCTTCAAGTTCTACCATCACTATAGAGTTAAGTCCGGGAACTAAGAACGGAGCTGGCACGTATAGTGTGATTTGTGGACCTACTGCTGGCCAATATCTACCGATGTTAATTCCATTGATAAATGCAAAACCCTAAAAATAGTAGATCTTATAAGTTATAAATTACAATAAAATAATTGTAAGTTTTTCAACTCTACAATATTCATGAATAATCTTTGGAATATTATTTAGTTAAAATAAGTTACGTAATTTAGGGTATATTTTATAGTTGACGATTCTTATCTCAATTTTTTTTGTCAATTAAAAATAAGACATTATGGTCCTTTTCGTAGTAAACATGTGGAATATTAATAATTCAATTATACATTTATTATAATGATAAGACATATGAATAATTATATAATATAACATATATGTATAATAATATATGATGTAATGTGATTGTTTATTGATAAATTAACTCTTCTGACAGTGATAAATATTATGTTTTATTGTTTTCTATTAAATAATAATACTCATTAGCATTCTGTCATTTATATCGTAAGGTCATACCCAAGAGCCATGGCCATCCCTAGAGCAGAGTGAACGCGGCCTATGCTCACAGCTCAGGGATCCGAGCACCGTGCTTTTGGACATAAGTATATTGTATGATGTATACCTATTATGCATTGAACACAAACTTATTTTCAACTGTTTTTTAAAATTATTATTTATTTATATTTTAAAGCTTAAACTAATAATCAGCATTAAATTTCTTACAAAATTACAACAATTATTGAATTATTTTCTCTTTGTCATACTAATACTTAAAATCACATTTTACACTTGGTATATTTCGTTTTACTCTTTTATGCTCAATATTTAAGTTAATTTATTAATTGTTTTGTTTCTAGCTTATTTTAATCTAGCGTTACTTCATGTAAGCTATGATTAAAACATCAACAAAATTCTACGTGGCCCTTGATAATATTTTGCCCATAAACAGTATGAACCATGATCGCTTTGAATATTTATTTTGTAAGACTCGAACTAATAATATTATTTTAAAGTAATCGACAAACCTTTGACCATCCAGACGTATCTAAAAATGTATCCAATGGTTTTGTGTGTTTATTATCTTGTGGTATGACGAAAACTCCTTTGTAAAAAGCTGGTGGTTTGATATTTGGTTGAATTTTTTGTGTTTCTAACCACGATGTTTCGTTTAACGGATACCCAGTCATTACCCACGGACCTAGGGTGTATTTTCCTAGAGTTACGTTTGATAAAATCCCCTAAAGTTTAACTATTATTACATTAACTCAATTTAATATCAAATGTCAGTATGTCACGAAGATACCTTTATATCCTCCAAAAACCTCTTGTCGTTAATTCTGCCTTGATTTTCGACAAGAATGCTCAGCTTTTGATTATTACCGATTACTGATATTTCCATCGTCGTATTACTATAAGATCTGCTCATTATTCCTAATTTCACCTAAATAAACATCATTAGTAGTATTTAATTTCACCTATGAAATAATTGCATATTAAATATCTTTTTCTTATTGTTAAGTAAGGCGTAGGTATGTAGCCTGATTTTAGAACTGAGACAAGTATTTGTATGAGCCAGCAGTTCTCAACATTTTTAGTTGTGCGG